TTTACGATGGCTGCACCGGCTTTGATTTGTTTATGGTTGTCAGCTTTATTTGCATATCCCAGTTTAAATGGCGATTGGGCGGTGCTAATTGTGATATTACACCAATTCCTTTACTTCCCATGGGAAAATGTCGACAGCTGATTGGATTGAAGTTGTTTTTGTTATTTCCTTTTTTATACCCTGAACATGGTATATTAAGTCTGTCACGAAGTTTGTAACACCAAGAAGGAAGAGTCGGAAACCTATAAAGTTTATATGCAAATGATCAGTATGTCGAGCTGAGTCGATTTAGCCATGTCCGTCTGTCAGTCTGTATTTATACGAACTAGTCCCTCAGTTTTTATACTTTCGCAACAAAGTTGCTAAAGAGAGCATTATAGTTTTGTTCACATAACGGTTGTTTATACCAAAGTGATCAGGGTGACGAGTAGAGTTGAAATCCGGATGTCCGTCTGTCCGTCCGTCCGTGCAAGCTGTAACTTGAGTAAAAATTGAGATATCATGATGAAACTTGGAACACGTATTTCTTGGCTCCATAAGACGGTTAAGTTCGAAAATGGGCAAAATCGGCCCACTGCCTCGCCCACAAAATGGCGGAAACCGAAAGCCTATAAAGTGTCATAACTAAGCCATAAATAAAATGAAATTTGGCACAAAGGATCGCATTAGGGAGGGGTATATTTGGACGTAATTTTTTTGGAAAAGTGGGCGTGGCGCCGCCCCCTGCTAACTTTTTTGTACATATCTCGAAAACTACTATAGCTATGTCAACCAAACTGTACAGAGTCGTTTCTTTTATTTCCATATACAGTTCAAAAATGGAAGAAATCGGATAATAACCACGCCCACCTCCCATACAGAGGTTATGTTGAAAATCACTAAAAGTGCGTCAGAAACACAAAATTTTACGGAAGAAATGTCAGAATGAAGCTGCATCCAGGCTTTTTTTAAAAATTGAAAATGGGCGTGGCGTCGCCCACTTATGGACCAAAAACCATATCTCAGGAAGTACTCAACCGATTGCAATGAAATTCGGTATATTATATTTTCTTAACATCCTGATGACATGTACCAAATATGGGTGAAATCGGTTCACAACCACGCCTGAAATCTCGATTATCACTTTATCATGCGAGAGTATAAAATGTTCGGTGACACCCGAACTTAGCCTTTCCTCACTTGTTAAGATATCGTTTTGAAATTTTGCAAACGTAATTTTCTCTTCAAGAAGCTGCTCCTTTGTCGGAACTGCCGATATAACATATAGCTGCCATACAAATTGAACGATCGGAATCAAGTTCTTGTATGGAAAACTTTCACATTTGACAAGATATATTCACGAAATTTCGTATAGATTATTTTTTGAGGCAACAATGCCATCTCCAAAGAAATTGTTTAGATCGGTTAACTATAGCATGTAGCTACCATACAAACTGAACAATCCGAACCAGGCTCTTGTATGGAAAACTATGATATTTGACGATATATCTTATATATCTTCTTGATATGAGTTATTGTTCATAGAAATAATCTAATCTTCGAAGAAATTGTTCAGATCGGATTACTATAGCATATAGCTGCCATACAAACTGAATGATCGAAATCAAAAGCTTGCATGAGAAACATCCTCATTTGACGATATATCTTTACGAAATTTAGTATGAGTTATTTTTTATAGAAATAATGTAATATCAAAAGAAATTATTCAGATCGACTCACTATCATACAGCTGCCATACAAACCGAACGATAGGAATCAAGGGCCTGTATAGAAAACTTTGGCATTTGACGTGGTATCTTCACGAAATTTGGATTACTACAATATAATGTCCATAAAAATTGTTCAGAATGGATTACTATAGCATATAGCTTCCATACAAAGTGAACACATAGTTACTAACAGAAATGCACCTGTGTAGGGTATTTAGCTTCGGTGCAACCGAAGTTAACGTTCTTTCTTGTTTTTTGGTTGAATTGAGTCATTCGAGGAACGTTCTTGGTATGCAAGGCATATCTGTCACCAATTTGGGTCAATCAACCGCTGTTAATCAATAATTTATAAGCAAGAAATCGATGAACACAAAAAGTGCGTGAGTAATATAAAAAATAAATAAATAAACAAAATAAGTTTCCCATATGATAAAAAACGGCCGATGCACAAACACTGCAGTTCATCTGTTGCCTCTACTTCGCCCATTTAATACTATTGATTGGTAGCAATCGCTTATTTCATGTTTATTTTTTGACGTTTGCTTCTTTTCTGCTCTGCACTTCGCTGCTCCCTAATCCATTCAGTTGACCCTTAACATTAACAACGATCCTTTTTATCGTTTTATATACTTTTATTTCTTTTTCGAACGCGTTATTGCCCCACAAATGCCGTTTACGACTTTTTAAGTGGCACACAACATGTTTATTAAAGTCACTGATCTAAACAGTGGGCTCGGCTATATGCGTCGAAAAAATTCTACATACATACGTGTTCATGTATGCAACTTTTATGTATTAACAACATTTAATGCACCAAATTCCATAACTACAAGATGGTTCACATATTTTGTTATGTTTGAAGTATTTTTATGTTTTTGCTCTTAAATATTTTATTTATTTTGTTCGCGGCTCATCTAGTTTATCGATTATAATTTCAATTTGTTCTTGTTACTTTTGGCTTTGTTGTGTCATTCAGATTTTCATTGGTCTTTTGATTATCACCAGCTTTTATCCCCATGCATTTAATTTGCTTTTTATAGTAGCTTTTAAATTGTTGTTTGCCTCGAAGCAAAAGCTAATAAAATTAATTTTAATTGTGGTTGCTGATCAAATTGTAACATGTGCACATTGTTAACATGCTTTTGGTAAGGCAAAGTAGTCGAATTTTGTTTCGATTATTTAATAAAAACAAGAAAACAAGTTTACCTCGGCTGCATCAAAGCTATAATACCCTTAACGACTGTAAAGATATCTTATCAAATAAAAAAGTTTTCCATACAAGAACTTGAGTGTGTTCGATCAGTTTGTGTGACAGTTATGTGCTATATTTATCGGATCTAAACTATTTGTTGGGAGCTAGAAGCGCTGCCTTGGACAATAATATGTGCCGAATTTCGAGGAGAACCCTTGTCGAATTTAAAATTATTCTATACAAGTACACGAGGTTGATCGGTTAGCTCATATGGCAGCTTTACCCTATAGTGGTCCAATATCGGCAGTTCTGACAAATGAGCAGTATCTTTGAAAAAATGACGTGCAAAAAATTTCATCGATATTACCAAAACTGTGGGATCAGCATCGTGTGTTTATCTTTTAGTATATACATTGTAAACTAGGAAATTCTAAATAAAGCGCAACATATTAAATTATTTAGCAATATTTATTTTTACATTCCTCGTAAAACTTTTCACAAGCAACTTTTTGAGATGGTCTTCAGCTCCTTCAGCGACATCTCTTTAACACTTGCCTGACGATTTTCAAGGACCACATATTTCACTTTTGTAATATTATTATCAGTTGAAGAGGTCGAAAGTCGCCCAGAACGGGGCATGTCTTCAGCGATCTCTCGACCGTCTTTGAAGGCTTTATAGTACTCGTAGCTTGTGTTTTTGATAAAACTGAACCTTTTCCAACATTCGTAGCGATTCGGTTAGAAATACAAAATTTGAAAAAATTCTTTGTTCGACACTTTTATGCATTGTGAGAATCGCAACGCGCCACTGAAGTGCACCGACTTAAGCAGCTGCTGTAAACAACTATTTTACTTATATAAGTATGTATGATTCCAGTAAAGTTGTTTTTATTGCAAAGGCAGCGAAGATGTTATATGTCAAGCCTGGCTTATATAAACACATGCGTGCCGATCCTCTGGCCGAAAGTTCGTTATGCCAATTGTTTTTACATTGCAAGCAATTGAAAGAAATAAAACGTTAAAGCGACACAACTTCTATAGCCGACAGGAAAACAAAAAATATTTGCAAAGAAGAACCCAACTGAACTTAATTTCAATGATTTAATGACAACCATCGCCGAAATGCAAGTGATTGAAGAAAGCTAAACGCTTGCAACATCGTATATACATATATGAGAAATGTGTGTTACACTTGGCACGTGGTACATGCCACCACTGAATGCATTACCATTTGAGTGGCATCTGAACCAGAGTGCCTAAGACAACGATAGCGTGATATCACCACGAACTAATGGTATCAATTGCACATTGGCAATTTCGTAGGTATCCGCCTCACTGGTGTATTGCATTGTCTTGCAGACACTTCTGATTTTTATCATGTCTTCACGACACAATGACAATTGCGTATGTTGTCCAAATATGGTGTTGCAGCAATGAGGAATAAAGGCAACAAATTCATCTGAGTCGCAAAACTGCAACAGCCAGGTCAATATAGAAACAATGACGATCGCTCCACACCACCCTACTATAATCGCACATATTAAATGAAAAGAAATTGAAATAATTTTTGCTATTGAGAAGGTCTTTAGTAAGGTATAGTTCTATTATTTTGCATTACATTGTTACATTGAAGAATTTTGTTAGCATAGTAAGAATGATTCGATGTTGACTGATGATTTTAAGGTGGATGTTCGTTGCCCGGCCATGTCCGAAAGGAACATAATTCATCTCCTATTGTCTACTTATGAGCGTTTGTTTCTTTCAGAAGTTCCAATTGTTGATAGCATAGATTCCAATTAAAAGTTTGGCCGTAGTACAGCAGTTAATGCTAGATAATATCCTGCTAGTCTCACCAAACTTACATCAAAAACTTTTTGACCGCCAATCCTTGTTTCTATCCTGTTCCTTATTATGAGTGACCCACTTTTCATTGCCAGTAACCATCCGCCTCAGAAATAGATTAATTTTGTTGCAAATCAAAGATGGAAATTCGTCCATTAAGTTTCTTGCGTTGACTCGTGTGTCACCTGAACATCGGCCTCCTTTTTGTGTGCAGCCTGGAACCACTTAAATCCAAATTGGGTTTTGCTTGATGATGCTTTGATGATGTTCGGATTCGAAGATTTCCATTTTTTTACAATTAGTTTTCCAGAGCGTGGTGCATCTTTAAGATTAATGAAACCAAAATTATCAGCTATCGGCTTTTTCACTGGCCGACTGGTTTGCTTTTTCTAATTTATAGAAGAAAACTGTAAAATGTAGTGTATATTCTCCTGTCAATCTTGGGCGGGTGCTTTAAGAATACCGAATCATACCATCAATTTACTGTCTGAAAGTTTTTTTAGTACAAAATCTAACCTTTTTAACGCCATATAATCCCGATCACACTTATACAACAGAAAAAAATAGAATACTAATTTTGCGACAGCAGCACCGCGCCCTTCAACAAGTTCAGTCTTTCTAAAAGTAGCGGAAGATCACTCCACCACGTCACTTACAACTGCACTGCGCTACTGCCAACAATTCAACAAGTCATGTGCAGTTCTCCGTGTAACGCGTTGCAAGACATGCACAAAATACATTGACTGTGTCGTAAGGCATTATTCAAGTAGACGTTGTCGAAGATTTTTGCATTATTAACTACTAGTCCAATATTACCCCTTCAAGCTAGCAAAGGGACGTCAGCAGGCATAATTCGCTTCAATTTACTAGTTTTCTTTTCGTTGTGTATTCTTCTTTGTTTATTATATTTATGTATGCATATTCTTTTTCCATTCGCAGACCACCATTCCTTTGCAATCGTTTAACCTTGATTGTGCACGCCTCGATAATGGCATAAACGCTGACAACAACACTGGAAGCCTTTGCACTGCAGGTAAGCCGAGTGTTGCCTATATGCGAACTTTATCGGCACCGACAGAATACCACCAAAAACAACCAGCGGCCCACAATTGCGGCGCCGGCAAGCGCAACAGTTTAGCAACATTTAATGCCACAACTGAACAACACCATCAGCATTATCATAACTTGACAAATTTACAATACAGCAACGAGTCGAAGGCAACAAGTGCGGCAACAGATACAAACCCGTCAAAAACAGCGACGATATTAAAAATTGAAGAGACAACACCAGCAGCTGCGACTGCATTGGCGACGACAAATGGTCACCGTCGGCCAGCAATGGCAATGACAACATTAAACGACTGTGACGCCGCCACCGCCCAAGAAAACGATGAGGAATCACTTAAAAATAGACGACAACGTCAATTGGAAAACGATATGGAAACAATGCTCGGCAGCAACGTCGCTACAACTCATTGGACGCAGAAGGAAAGCTCGAGTCAGAGCCAAAGCCACCATCCGCTAGCGCAGCAGCTGTGCAATGGTGATAAAGGCAGCAACAGTGGTTTTAACAGTAGCGGTAGCTTGGCGGCAATGCTGGCAATACCAAAACGGGAGCGCATTAATCATGCGACAATGACAACACCAACATCAGCAATAGCTACGGCAAAGCTAGGCAACACTATGCTCTTACCGTCTACATTATTGACCTCATCAGCATCAAAGAGTAATGGCGGTGGCACCACGTCCTCTTTGTTGTTAAACGGCGGCGATGTGACCAAAAAAGGATCCACTTCAACGATCTGGACGTCTGAGGAGTCAATATTGCGAAGTGTTGGCGCCGTCGATGAAGACAATAAGTAAGTAGCAAATAAGATAATTATTGAGACTTAATAGCCGAAGGATAGATTTTCAAAAATGCGGAAGCACTGTTAGGTTCCAACTGAAATTGGTGTGCCATATAAGAGGAACAGAAATATTTGACAAACTTGAACGATCACTTACATTATAAATAAAAATGTATCAGTACTATTATTTTTTGTCATAATAACGATGTACCGAAATCATAGATATGTATACAGGTACGGGATACTTTTGTACAAATTGTGATTTTTACTTTTTGTGCTTCCAGTTCCACTTCATCCTCGGCATGTGAAGAAGCCTGTGGCGTGCTAAGCTCCGGGAAATCGGGCATATCGCTCGACTCCTCCAGTCTAGATAATGACAATAATGAAAGTGGTATTGGCACGGCGACACCACCAAAAGAAATCTGCTACTGGAAGACTCAACAAAACGACAACGAATCGATTAGTAGCTTAGATGCGCTACGGAAAATGAAATTCCAGAAAAGTGGTTCAGTAGTTTCCTCCGATGATCCAGACCTCTTAGAAGTTCTCAGCCTATGCGATGAACCTCATGGTGGTGATGAAGATATTACCATCAATGGCGGCGATGAGTCACACGATGATATTGACGATCAGCGTCAGCAGCATAAACCACCAACAGCTACCACACCAGCAGACAAGCTAAAACACAAGGTTCAACATTTGCAACAACTACAACATCAAATTCTGCACGCCACACGCCAACGTCATCGTCAACATCAACGCACACGACAAGAAGACAACGATAACGTTGAGAGTAATAATACGCTAGAAACGGCTGAAGCCATAGATGACGGCGGTATAGGTGTATCCGATGTAACGTATGAATACGATGAGGGCCACGATGATTTTGAAATTGGTCCATATTGCGACTGCGAATGTAACGATGGCGATGCGAGCAGCGCCAGTGGCAGTGGCGGTGGTGGCAGTCGTAACGGATCCGCATCAGCTAACGAAACGGCTAGTGGCAACAACGTAGTATTACGTCGCAAACTCAGTGCTGGGACTACACCAATTATGATGCCTTATGGCGGTAGAGGTGGTGGTGGTGGCCGAGCACAGAAATGTCGCAGCCACTCATTGGATACCTCTTCGCTACCAGCGGTCTACTATCAGTACTCACCACTGCAACATCAACATCCGCAGCAGCATCATCCATTGACGCGTAAGATACATCAACATTTGCATGGACGTGGCAGAGAACGTGGTCAGCTGTCGCTGGCTCTACGTCAGGAACCGTTTCAGTCTTTGCTATCGCCGACACTCTTTGCAGAATTGCCTTCGCCGAGTAGCGCTTCTCTGCACAGCGGACATGAAAGTCTAGGCATACAAGAGCTGACCACCAAGTCGAACTCGGCGCCATTGCTGCTGAAAAAAGAGAAGACGCGACGTGATGATTTTTCCGGGCAGAAGTTGGTGAGTTGGAAATACCGTGTGAAATTAATTAAAATTCCGCAAAAAACAGTAAAAACAGCACAGTTTACTATCTTAACCAATGTTTTCTTTATTTGTAGGCGCTGCGCTACTCACGATCGCAAAGTGATCGCTACTTAGCAGGTGAGTCGAATATTTGACGGACAACAACTTTATTAAGCAACTAGCTGACCACGCAGGCGTTGCCCTGCGTGAAATTATGTGTTTTGAAATGAAAAAAGTAGAAGTCACGCAGCTTGATAAACAACATTTTTTGGCTTCTGCTCCGGTGCGTAAATGTACAGAGAAGATGGTTTTCCAACTAGTGAACACGCCACGTATAACCGACCGTGTGAAAAACATTTCATTTCCAGATTTATGCCACAAACTTCTAGCGGCTATCCTTTATTATATTTTTTTATAGTAGGAGGAAGCATCGAAAGCTGGAGTGCGGGACTTTAATCCGCTAAACCTAACCTACTCTCAACTCAAGACCCTCCCACGGAACCAGAAGATAAGGCATTACTTCTTGGGAGTGACAACACATTTTACGTCTCCTCTATAGCACAGACGGACTGACGACTATTCTGTTGTATCTGTCTTAATACTGTCATGATGGAAGTTGCCGCTTCGCGAACAGCTTTCCACTTCTCAGAGGACTGACACATAAGTGCAGTCAAACTTTCCACCGTTAAACTACCACCTAGTGCTGTTTCTAACTTTTCGCTTGTGTCTAGAAACCGAGGACAATGGAAGAACACGTGCTCAGATTCTTCTAATGACTCCGTACACAGAGAACAATCGGACTGACGTTTTAAAATTTATATAGATATGTAGCCTCTGAAGCACCCATGCCCGCTTAATATTTGGGTCAGGTGGAAATCAAGGTCCCAAGGTAAGTCTGTGGGTCCACCGTCCTTTAGCTGAGGTTTGCCACCGATGCTGCCATATAGTTATTCTCTTCTTTCTCTCTTCTCTCCTTTGAATTTCTGTAATTGACGCTGATAGCTCATAAAATGTAGTGAGCTCGTCACCCTCGATGTCTATGGGTGGCATACCAGCTAGTACTTTAGATGCTTCGCTAGAAATAATTCGGAAACCACTAGCTACTCTTATTGCTGTGAGTCTATGCACCGCATTTATTGGTTTGGCATACACTTTTATGTTTAGTGCCTGTATCCATACTGGAGCTGCATATAGTATAACTGAGCTCATAGCTTTTGCGATTAGAAGTCGGCGGCTGGAGCGCACACAGCCTCTATTTGCCATCATTCTTGATAACGCGTTATAAATCGTATTTGCTTTATTTGCTATGTTTGCCAAGTGCTGCTTGAATTTCAGTTTTTAGTTCAATATTACCCCTAAATACTTCAACTGTGGTTGTGAAGTTATTTATTTATTTTATTTACAACAGTTTACAAAGCAATAAATTACAGCATAAACTTTAAAATGACACTAGCTGCAAGGCTTTCAGTCATCGTTTTAATRCTAAGTTTTGTTGGTTAAATTCATAGTGGTACTAGTAAATAATTACATATGTTATTTTAACTATGATATCTTAAACTAAGCTAAATTAGGTTAAGGATGTTATTATCTTTAAGGAAATTGTAAATATACATAATGTTGTCGTGTGTGGGTGTAGATAGTGCCTCCATTATCGAATTGTTACCAGAGCACTCAGTCTGCCTTGTGTTCGGACATTGCGAAATTAGGTGCTTAACTGTATTTGGGCCATTGCAAAGCGGGCAGCAAGATGGGTCGCTCCTTGTTAGAAGATGCGAGTGGCTAAATATAGTGTGGCCAAGCCTTAGGCGTATGTACGGCTTCAGGATGTTGCTCGCCGTATTTGCAGGGTAAGTTGGAGTGATTCTCCTTGGRTTTATTCCAATGTAGKGATGGTTTTGCGATGCCCAGTCCGAGAATTCCAGATTTTTTCTTTTTATCTTAATGTGCCTGTACAAATCGCCCTTGCTTAAAAAGCCGAGCATTAGAGTAGGGGATCTGCTAACTTCTTTTGCGACAGTATCAGCTCGTTCGTTTCCTGAGATTCCCACRTGGCCTGGGATCCACATAAKCTTGATTTTATTTTCAGCCGCAATGAGGGAGTTTCTGATTGATGAAATTATCTTGTGGGAATTTGCATGTGATTGAATTGCCGCAATGCATGATTTACTGTCACTGCAWATCAAATATTTTCCTCTATTTTTTTTAGCATGCTCAACAGCAAGATCAATAGCTAAGGCTTCGGCGGTGAATATTGTGCACATCGGATCAAGCAGCCATTGGCATATTACGTCTCCATCTTTATCGACAACGGCCAACGAGGTRTGGTCTGATGTCTTGGATCCATCCGTAAAGATAAAACGCCAATTCGATGTACTATATTGATCGCGAATGTATGCAAACTTTGCTTGGTAGACTGCGTTAGGTGTACTTTGTTTAGKCAAGTTTAGTAAGGCATTCTCAAAAGATATTGGACTAATGGACCAAGGAGGAAATGTCTCGGAGCACTTTTTGCCTCTTATCAAACATTTAATGAAATGTTGCATGGTGTCTTTTTGCGACATATATGAAGAAGATTTGTTTTTTCTAAAGAAATGTGTACGCCTGAAATTGAGGACCAAGATGAAATATTRKAGAGAATGTCAATGAAGGTGTTTTGGACAGCTGTCGTGTCATTTACCTTTGTATATATTAGTACATCATCTGCGTACATTTGATGGTCAATGTTTTTATAATTAGAAAGAAGTTGACTTAGCTCATCAAAGGCGATAATGAAGAGTAAAGACGAAAGA